CCAACGCTACTTTGCATGCTTGGAAGCAAAAGACGTGTACGTTTGTGTACGTAATAAGTATGCACGTTGGTAGAAAAGTTATTCCCATGATATACTCCATTATCCACGGTTTAAATGTCAAAAATCGTGGAAACATTTCATTCTCGAAAAAACTTACAAGAATCAAAATGCGTGGAATCAGTGAAACTTTTACAAACGTCGAACCAAGTGAATGTTCCAAAGTTTTAGCTGTCATGCATATCCAAATTCTCAGTACCCAAAAAGGGTCGTCGTCACCCATCCCCTGCCAAGCAATGCCCTGTTTAGGCGAAATAGTAGGGAAATTGAACCGAATATTCAGAATATGGCCTGATTTTTTGTTTATTTTTCGTATTCCAACATTTCGGATTTTGTATAAATCATTATTTACATTTTTCTATTTCTCTCTCTCCATGCCACGCCAGAGAGACGGATACAATTAGACAACAATGAACCCAAACTAGGCGTATAGAAGTTGAACTGCGGCCTCATGCAGACGAGGGACGAGTTTGAGCCAGGATAATTATTATGTTGCGTTGGGTCTGCCTCGGCATCAACCAAACCATTCTCTGATTCTCGCTATTCATAAATTTAATGTATAAAATAATACGAGAATGAATAATATATCTTCAATCCCTTCGCTCATTTTTGAATTTTCATATTTTGTTTAAATTCCGAGAATGGGTGGATTCCACGCGATGTTAAGGGCGCAGCCTGCAGATACGAGTTACAAAGAAACGCTGGCAATAATCCTTGAGTGACAATGACAGATGTTATAACAAGTTTCTCTTAATAACAATTCCATTTAACCACCTTTTTTTCTCTCGAAAATTGACGACATCCTTCAACCTCTTCCTGTATGTATGTCGATCTACCATGCGTACAAAATATGTACATACACGTATATTTACATACATTTATTAATTTCGTAAATTTATTTTATCAAAGATAACCGAGCTCAAACTCTGCTCTGCTCTGGTCACGTAATAAATGCAACACATTTGCCCGTAACATGGTTTTGATTGGAAAATGCGCAGATATGTATGTCTGATTTTGCATTTTCATTATCTCCTCTCTCAACCTGCATGGAAGCAGGTTTTGATCCATCCATACGCTGCTACAATGATTCTCTGGATAGAAGGAGGGTTTGCGAGATATTTAGTGAGTTTGGGTTGCACGGCAGGAAGGATAAAGCAGACAAGGTGAGAGAGATAGAGAGAGAGAGAGCCAATGCTACGATGTGATATTAGATATGGGCAATAAACTCGTCCGAGACTGCTAACTACATTCTCTCTCTCTCTTATTCTCTGACTAAAACTGTGTCTCTTTCCCTTCTTTCTCCACCCATACAGTCACCAGCAGCAGCAGCACGAGCCATCCAGCAGCAAGCAAGCACCTCAGCCAAACTAAACTAAACCAACGCATCGATTTTTTAATCAATCTCTCTCATCCACCAACCAATCCATTCACTCACTCACTCTCAGTTCACTTTCCAATTTAACTACGGGAAGCAACTGAGTCTCTCTCTTCCACAAAAAGCATTTTAATATTTTCCTCCTCTGCGCCCAGAATCAACACGAACGAATATGTATACTGCTGATTTATCTCTTTCCTCTCTCTCCTATCTCTCATTTAACTCGCTCCTCTCCTCCACCTCAAATTAAACTTGCCCATCTGGTCATGCGAATTTAACTGGCTTATTAAATATTATTGTGTACAAGTCCTATTTTTGTTGGACTTGTTTGAGTCGAGCTGATTGCGAGTTGTTATTAATTTTTTGTTCGTTTTGAGCCAGAGAACAGACTCACATTAACTGCATGCATAATCACAAATAATGTAATGTAGAAATCAATAGAGACCAATTTTGAGATAAGGTGCCTTCATGTGGACGAAGCATTTAGTTTTCACTAAAGTAGTGGCAGAGGTGACTCTCAATTATGCATGCGTCATATTTTTATTTGTGTATGTACAACGTTTCGTAAGCCTGGCTAAAACTTGGTACTCGTGTACTGCCTGTACTTCCGTATGGATAAATGTGCATGTACTTATAACGCTGTTATATTTAGATGCACTATGCGGAATCAAGCGATACAGTCGTAGTCGTCGCCTATAGTCACGTCCTGCTCAACCAACCAGGCAAGAATTCATTCATGAAAGAAAGCAAGGCAATAATATGTACGTGGCTTGATCATCTAGTCCCAACACTCACTTGATTCAGCCGACCTGTCTCAATACGCATACATACCTCGCTACCTGAGGAGTCGGGATGGATGAATGTGTAAAAAGCGGGAGGAGAAGAGTCAAAGTCTCCGTCAATCTAAAGTCTCTCAAGGTCAAGGAGCTATGCAAGCAAAGAAGTGTTAGGCAAGGAGTACATAAAGCGTCCAAAGTAAAAACATGGCACCAAGCACGATTCTTTCTTCGTCCTCTTCCATGTGTTATGTAAGAAGTGGAAGAAGAAGAGTGAGAGCAAACCGCAAAACTACCAACATCACGACCGGTGCTTTCCTCACCGAAAGAAGTGCAACTATCAGTAGGACTCAACGTCATCCACTATTCATGCCGCCGCACTGTACTTTACTACCACCACAAAGATCAGAGGAATGCACTACGACTGGTACTACTACTCCCGTCACCGTCACCCCCACGTGGTGGTTGGCTACAAGTGCGTTTGCAGGATTTCCTACTATATCACCATCGTACAGATGCAGTTACCTACGAGCCTCAGATTGATATCATGAATGAACGGTTGAAATCCAAACAAAAATGTAAATAGGTTGAGCAGTAGGTACACATGGTAGACTGATCCCTTTGAGGAGAGTCGGCGAGTGTATTTACTCATACCGGTCGACCGACCAGCACCACGGGAGAAAGCAGTGGATGAAGAAAGAGAGAGAAAGAAAGAGCCAAATGCCACCAGTTAAATCCAGGATTCTCTCTGAAGTGTCGGGCCATTTGAACCATTGAACCTCACCAGTCCTACGAGGCTCAGAGCACTGGATTGAAGTGAGTGAAAGCAGCACAAAGAGTTTAAAGTGTTTAAAAGAGCTGTAGTTGGTGATGTTATCCGTGATGGAGTGGTGTGTAGCCGGGTGTAGTAGTGGGAGTTGAGGGGAGTTTGCGAATAAAATATGCATGAGCTCTTCTGTAGTGGGAAGGAACGGGTTAAATCGCCTCTTCAAACTTTCAACTCCCAACAGCTCCTTCACTCCCTCCGTCACTATTACTCTCTCTCTCTCTCTCTCTCTCTCCTCTGGCTGTGGCTTTCCGTAACCTAGGTCATGAATCTGGCCTCCGCCGATTTCTTCTTCTCCGAAACCGTAAACTCTTTCCATTCATCTGTCCGTACAACGGATCCCGTTGGCTTGTTTCTTACGTAAACATGTTCCACCACCGCCACGTTGTAAACTCGTAACTCTACGTTATGAAGGCATTCACGTGCTCATCCATTTTTAATATGCTTTTTTGCATGTGAAATCAAATAAGCATAAATTGCTCAAAATGCGATCAAACTTAAAATGAAACCTAATATGTACGACCAGTAGCGTAAGTAAACGGGGAGAAAGCGGGGAAAGAAAAGAAGTGTGTACACTCGGAGACAGAGTTGTTGGTAGTTCCCCTCGTTCAAATTTAAACAACAAACAACACGCCAAAGCCACGTAGTAACAAACAGTGTGTAAATAGCGTGGTTTTCAATAGTGAATGTTCTTGTGTTTGAATTTGTGTTTCTCCACCTTGGAACCACAATGTACACGACCCACACGACACATTCACTGTCCAACGACATGCATACATCCATATCAAATTTAATTTAAACCCGACAACCAACTCACTGTTGTGCGATTAGTTCGATTTGTCCGTTTATGTAAAGAGAGACACATAATACTCTGCCATAAAGGAGGAACAGAATGAAAATAAATGGGTTTCGCCAATGAATTGCTCACTTGAAAAAAAGTAGAATGTACGTACTTATTTCTTCCAATGTTGTGCCTCTCTAAAAGGCAAAAAAAGTATCGCACACTTACTCACTCACAAGTTGCGGGCAGACTTTTCAACTTTTTTAATAAATACAAAATTGCTTGAGCTCAAAAGTTGAGGACTAACTAAAAATTATCAAATTGTCAAACCAGTCGTCTCAACAACAACAAAGTATTAGAATTAAAGTCGGAAGGTTATCCATTTCACTTGACGAAGAAGAATGAAACTTTTTTTCTCCTTATTCTCTTTTTTCCCTTTTGTCAGTGAGATTAAAACGCTTATTTCTTTCTTATTCGTAAACTACCGACCAGCAGCTTAAATAGTTTTGTTGGAAAGTAGAAAATTGTTTCGATTCTATAAAGTCTTGAAAAGTTTTTAATAACTGTAATTGAAATTTTTTACGAGCAATTCAGCGAGACTTTATGTTGGATAAATCGTGCCATGAGTGTTACAAAAATACATACATAGACAATAATAAAGGGGGAATTTCACTATAGTTTTTTTAACTAGGTGATAATTTAGGGTTCATAAAAAATTAAAGTGAAAGGTAGAATTATTGTCGGCTCAGTGTTTTGTTGAATTTTTAAATTCGCCATTTGCTGAACAACTCTATACTATACGCAAAACCACTCTTAATTGAATTGGATTGAAGTTTTAATTTTTCAATTCAATCAATTAATTGCTAGTTATCTCAACTGTATCAATTTCCCCGTACGCAGTTATTCTACTGTCACAACAAGGTCTCTAGTTCCCTCGTTGTTGACAATTTTATTTCCGGATAAATTTAGAATTTTTTATTGGATACGCTAGAATTGTATCTGAATCTGATCATTTTAACGAAACCTGAGAAAGTTAAATGTAAGCCGAGCTGCTTTCACCAGAGGAAAATAGGATACGGCACACCGAATGGCTGGCCTTTGTTGTCCGCCACGTCGCCGTGTGTGCTCTCGCCTTAGCTCTTTCTTTTGGGTGAATAAGGGCAATTTAGTAAAATGTTGACTCACCTCGACAACAGTGGTGGTGCTTGAGAGGCCAAAGAGTCACAAGCCGGTGTAAGTGGCCTGCTTCAAGACGACGTTCAAAGTGTCCCTTGTCCTCAACAAACACTTGCCCACAACCACTCATACTCAACATCAAATCAACTCCACTTTCGTCTCTAGACAGCCAAACCACCACCAAATAAAACACTTTCAACTCTCAGTTTTCTCCCGATTTTTAAAACACTTTCTCAATCACAAAGCGTCCACCCAATGTTACTCCTCCGTCGAGAATGAAAATGAATTGGGGCAGTGTGTACTACTTCTTCCTGTCTACATAGTCTGCTGCTCTCCTTAATAACAAAAACATGGAGAGGGTGGCTTTGGTGGTGGGAGGAGGGCGACGAGGTCGTCGTCGTCGTTGTTGTCGCCGTTATATTATTGTTATTATTATTATTTGCAATACAGGATCAGATTGTCGTCGGTCTGTTTTTGTGTTGAAGAAATCTCACCCGATCCGACGAGTCAGACGAGTGAATTTGTTGAAATGAGAAAGAAAGAGCCAGCCAGCCACAGGAGGTGAAAGTAATTTCCAGGACGGTGTCACAACTGCACACAGATTCTGCACATACACAAACACAAGTCATATTCTAGTACAGCTCGAGAACACAACATCTCTATCATCAATTGAAGTCGTAGTGAGATAATGGCTTCAGGAGCAATAATCAGGCTTAAAATTGTGGACATACACTTCCACTTTATTACAACTCTCGGACTTTAATTAAATAAAAAGAGAAAAATAGTAATAATAGAGCAGAATCAAATCGTAATAAATAAATTTTTTTAGAGGAGACACATAAAAAACAATAAAAAACCAGTGACTCACCTTGCCTCACTCCTTGAGAGAGAACTGCAGCAGCACGGGCTTGGGCTCAGAGATATATTTATATATAAATATTTGGGATTGTAAATCTTCTCGTCTTCGTTATTATTATTTATTATTTATTATTATTATTATTATCCCAAAAAGGAAATACAATTCAAAATTTAAGGCAGTTTATATATAAAACACGACAAAAAGTAGTAGTATTTTAAGTACGGCAACAATTCCTGACTGGGATTTGACTAGAGTTATTATGTTGTATTTTGTCTTCTTTTTTTGACTTCCGTTACAAGATAGAATAGTTTTAAAAGTTTCTCAAAGTCTCACGTCTCAGACTTGTTGTAATTTGTATGAACTTATTTTTGTTTGTCAACGTGTTTCAGGAAATCAAGTGTTTCTGTCGTGTCTTGAGGTAGACCGTGTGTAGGAGTTGGGTTCATACTGAATGTAATGCCTTGAGTTGTTTTCTCTGTACAAGTTGGTGTATTTTTTTAGTCGTTGTAGTAGAGTTTCATTTAATAGTGAAGCCAACAAATAACTGGATCCTATCTTCTCTCACTTGAAATATCTAGTAGTACGAAGTTCGCTTGTCATTTGCATCCCATCCAGGACAATAAACAGTAAAGTGTGTGTGTATGTGTGTATTTATGTATGTGTGGCTACTAGACGTGTTTTCTCCAAGAACGCGTCTGCAAAAAAAAACCAGTGGTGTCAGCCTCCCTAAATTACACACGCCCAAATACAAACCCACCACGATGCTTACATCCTAACTCCGAATGACTTGTGCGTGGTGGAGTGGGTTGTATGTAAAAGTTTTTTGTATTTTTGTAGTTAAACGGACGAATTGAGACAGTGGTTTGACTAGATGGTGGTTGCTCTTAATTGCTAAGGTACTCGGACCACTAGACTAGATACTAGGTAAGATTAGAGGTAAATCACATTGGACTGAAAATACACAAATGTGGAAAAGGTCCAACCAAGAGAAAACTGGAGAAAGGTGGTGGTGTGTGGTCGTCCTCGGTGTGTTCTCTCTCCGAGAGTGTGACTGTGAATGAATGGGAGGAAGGATGGATGATGACTGAGAGCACGGCAACCCAACCAGCCCAAGTCCTACTCACTCACTACTCCCCAGCAGCACAAAACTTGGAGTGCAAGAGTACGGAATACGGGAATGAATGCACTTTCAAGCTCTGAATTCACCAGTCTTATTACGGCAAAAACTCCACACGAAATCCTGGAATCCTCTCTAAGAACAACGGCACTGACTCTTCTCTCTCTTTCCTCGGGCATTGTTGTTCCCGAGATCCTGCATGAACAATATGACGAACGGGGAGAAATCGCAAAAATCGGGGTGAAACGAAAATTAGAGAGGAGCAAAGTATTTATTTAGTGTTTAAAAGCAATTTTATTTGGTTGGGTTTTACTAGGTTTTGGTAAAAAATTCTGGTAAACTATTTACCCTAAAATCGTCTCATGCTAAGAATCCAGCGTTAGTGCCGCAAAGACCCGTCGTAGCATCATAACAGAATTATTATTAAAGAGCGAGCACAACGTGGCATGATGGAGTAGGAGAGAAGAAGAGGGGTTGGAAAGATGCGATGTTTTGGGTAGAATTTTAGACCCGAATGAAAATCCAGTTTTCGGGATTTCTGATAGTGGTGTGGAACATGATTTTGGTTTAGCTTGGTGGACTGCATGAGGCCGGCTTCGGCCAGTAATGGTTGAGTCCTCCCTTCATTGGAGAAGGGTCTTCTGCATTTTGTGATATGAATGAGATCCTCGTCGTCCTCCTTGCTAGATTACTTTCTAAGCTGCATGCCCATCTTCCACAGAGAAAGGATAAGACATGAGGAGCATAGCCTGCAACTTATTACGGCTGCAAGTTAGGACTGCTAATTGCCCAGGCGTAGGTTCTTTTTTTATTGATTTTTAATGAATATTATCGAAAATAAATTGGATATAGATTGTAACACACGGGTTTTTCGCCATCACTGCGAAACCAACGAGGAGTGTGCAAAGGTGCGTGTAATGACTCGTTAAATGGGACAAGACCCAGTGACGATGGGAAAGAACAAGTTGTGTACATGCAGAAGTGTATGGGAGCATTTTATCCTCTTCTCTGTCCGTCCGTCCAACAACCGTAGAATTGCACTAAAGGTCTCCTCATTCACAACTTGCAGTCTCTTGTGACTTCAGTTTAGCACATTGGCCTTGTTTTGGCAGGGTGATGCTGGTGCATGGTTCGTATGTAGTTGTAGCAGTTGGAGAGGAGCTGTGCTGTAAGTAACGACGACTGAAATCTTGTATTCTCATCCTGCCTCCGCCTCTTTCCTGCGAATCACACTCACACCAACTTCACCTCAACACAAACGATGTGAAAATCCGATTACATTGAATGCAACTGACTACACAACCATCATCCATGCACCGGGAGAACTGCATTTGCTTTCATCTCTACATTTTCAACAAACCAAATTTAATCTCAAACATTGTTCAATTATTTGTTGATATATAAGTACATAAGTACGTGTGCAATCTGCTCCTTTCCCAAAAGGGCTGCGTAAACTATGTAACATTTTTCATGTGAAATTTGTTTTGTAAAATGGTCTAAAATTATAGAATGCAATACACTTATTTCAATTGGATAATACAGAATTTAGTAGGATTCATTTTACGAAAGCCATTTTACTAAAGACAGAGCCAAGAGATGTAATGCCACTGATTTTCTAGATTCGGAAGTGCGATAGTGTTCGTGTCCTGCATGAGGGTGACTTTCTGGCATACACGCGCACGGGTCGGTGCAGTGCAAGAATGCACTTTCCTCTGACATAATACTACTCGAGGTATATGGCAGGATAGGAGAAAGCAGTCCGTATGCATGTAGCAGTAGTAAAGGAATAATGCTCCACCGTGGAAAGTATATGGGTGAGTAGTGAAGAACGGCAAGAACAGCAGCATTCGAGATAAGGAAAGGAAAGATCTCAGAACAGGAGCTCCCCACATATCACGTCCCTTATTCAAGCAAGATTATGGAGAAAGTGTGTAAATTGTAGGATTATAAAATGGAGAAGCAGGTCTTGTATTTTTCGTTAATTCATAAAATAGCTTAAATTTGCAGCAGCAGCAACACCCAAATTGCTTTGTTTGTTAGTTACTGTGAACATTTAAGGGAGAAGTCATCTCTTTTATTTTGCTAATAACTATGCAATGAGATGAGTGTGTAAGCCATACAGCAAATGTCACACCGTGATGAGCGAACTTTCCCTGTTCTGCTCTAATGTGGAAATGTGTTTGCACTGATACTGCTGCTGTTGACGAGGGTGGAAAAAGTGCATCCCATCCGACTGACTGTGTGTTTCGTCTGCCTGCATAGTGTGTTGGCTGGCTGGAGCTAAGTTAGTTAGCACTACTACTAGTTGGTAGAGAGTAAGTGGAGACTTTTCCCCGTGTAATGCTTATAATTTGGTGGGGCATAGTTTTATAGCGGTTAGTTGGTGAAAATACCACGCAATCGCCCGCCCGAATACAATCGATTGGACGGATGACGGAAAGCAATGTGAAATTCTCCTTTGGATTGGCCATGTGGATTTTTGGTGAAGAATTTTGCCCATTTCCTCCTCCTACCATTTCCGATATATTTATGTATTATTATAATACACATTTTTATATCTCTCACTACAATATCTCCATTTCTAACCTACACCACACCACCACCACCACCACCACCGCCACCGCATCATCACACTACTCATACTCTTAGTACCATTACTAAGACTGCAATCCCAACTGAACTATTAGTGGTGGTGTGGCCAAAAAGAAAGCAAAAACCCGTGCTCCTCATTTTCCGACGCATTTACACGTTTGTCTCCGCTGGAGAAAGTCTTCTGCGGCGACTACCCCGACTGCGAGCAGCAGCAGCAGTGTCAACCACATTATACTCGTCATTGTTTATTTGTTAAGGGTGCACCGCCGCCACCACTTCGCAGCATGTTGACAACTGACTCCACTCCATTCTGACAACATTCCGTTAATCTCTGTATTATGCAAAGTTGTACCAGCTCGTCCTCTTCTTTGTCTCAACGACAACCATCACTGCTCACATCCCTTTGACGACGAGGCAAAAATCGCACGAGATGTGCTCGCTCCACACCACTCGGACGAGGCATATTTAGCATTAGCATTTGCCTTCCTGGCTTAAAACAAATACTTGATAGCCTTTCGCAGATTGTCGAGTAAACCAGAGTAACTAACAAAGTCTAACGTGGAGAAAGCGGGAGGAGGAGGCGGCTAGGAGCCAAAATCTCGAATTTTTACAGAATAACATAACACTAAAATCTAACGCTTTCTTCTTCTCAGAAGGAAAAGAAAGGAGTAATGTCATGTCGTCGTCGTTGTCGTCGTCGTCGTGTTTCTACACTTTCTTTTTGGTTTAATAAGGGGATGGACTTGACACACGGGCCAATGCGAGTACGCCATCATCATCGTCGCCGTCGTCGTCGTCGTGTGTAGTATGTTAGAGACAATAGAGTGACACATGCAGTGCTGCTGCTCTTCCTGCTAATCAATGCGCCATACTCGCACTCTTTTCGTCGTCGAGATGCTCGTTCTTCTTTATTGCAAGCATTGATTTCGTTTCATTATGTTGCACCTTCCACCTCGCACTTTGAGTTTCCACTTTGAGTCTGTATTGCATTTTTGTTGGTTTTTTCCCTCTAAATGTAAGCCACCCTATCGGCAAGCCATGCACATGTAGTGCATTGCATTATATATGTGTACGATAAGCTGGTTCATTGTTATCCCTGACTTTCATCCGGTTAAAAGCTATGCCATCACTCATTTCATTAATCTGCACTTGTGCGTCTTGCTTTCTGATTTTGAATGGTTATTGCGGTTGTTCATTGGGCTTTGGATGGAAGCTATTTTCCTTTGTAGTTTCGGAAAAATAAGAATAAGAAGACCAGATTTGGATTAGAGTATACAAGTTGATGCTCAGTAACTGGTCGTCGTTCCTCAGAGGAGTGAGTGCCATACCGTACCATATACTTTGTTTAAGTAGTGACGTTCCAAGCAAAAAAGTGAGAGACGCACAAGAGCAGCAACTAATAATAAACAAGTGCTACTACATTATTCCATCACAAGTTTTTGTTTTTAAATATCAATTTTGCTTCCAGACCATAACTAAGCACGAGATGTGAAGCAAGATAAAAACGTATTGACAATCTCGTAAACATGGTAAAATTCAAATTAGATAGAAAAATGCAATTAAAAAATGAAATTGTAAATCCTTTCCTGAGGTGGAGGGAGAAAGCTACACGCTTTCCTTATTCCGTCCCAAGGATTGCCATTTATATTCAAAAAGTAAATTTGACACTTAGTCGATAGTGGAGCAAATTTAAATTTAAATTGAATTGCATAAATTACTTCTGTCACTTAGGAAATGAACACGTTTAGAAGTCAACCGCAAAACAGCTACCAGATACTGGATGGATGGATAGGGTTTGTAATGTGGGGAAAGCAGCTACTCCGAACTCTGAACGAAATTTTATCAACTTTACGTGCACGTAAAATTTGTTAGGTTACTTATTTCAGTGGCGACGCACAATTAGAAAGCCATAAATCTGTGAATACACAAAGTACGAAAATCAGATTTAAGTAGTTCTCATACATATATTCACTTTCTCTCTTCGTGGAAAATCGTTCATTCATTCGTAATGATGATGATGATGTTTACAATTTAAGACCATGCAGGTACATAGATACATATGTAAATACGTATATATTATGGTGTGTTTCCTCAAATACTTGCAAATTAAATGGTTATTTATATTTAAAAAATTAAAATTTCATATTTTGTATCATACATTCTTCAACTGCAAATTAAAACTGGTCATGAATTGGTATCCTCGAGAAAGCAAACTGCTCTGGCTATTCGTATCCGATTTAAGTCGAATGAGAGGCTTGCTGCATGGCTGCACAAGTTTCATTAACGCTGCACTTTGTTCAGTTTTTGGTAGGACGTGGTGGTCAGTCAAGTCAGAGTGTCACGGAGAATGGAAAAAGGGGACCTAGCTGGACTCTCTCCTCCTCCTACTTGGTGCAAGTTTCGTGCGGTGTGGGTGGTGGTGGTGGTGGATGGAGGAGAAAGGAGAAATGAGATGGAAATGAATTAGCTAGGCCAGGGATTGATTCGATTTTTCTTTTCAACAGAGGAAAGCCCAGAGGAGCAACTCGGGAATTAAAACTAAAAGCCACTCGCTTCACAATTTTTCCACCGTCTCTTTCTCTCTTTCTCCACAAAAGTGTAATTTCACCCACCGACCGACCCCAACTAAATCTTCGCCACCACCACCGCAATACTACTCCCATCAACCTTCCTTATGGACCAGCAGCCCTGCTGTACGTAGTGCACACAATTAAAAGTGATTTCTCCGCTTTCTTTCTCTTTCTACATATGTGGATTGATGCATGATGAACGACTGGGGGTTACCAAATTACACTTAATTTTACCCAAATATATATTTTTAAAAACTAATCACCATTATATTTTGTAAATTCTACTAACTGAGTCATGTTTACCCGAGAGAAAGTCGCTTTCATTCTACTTGCAAAAAGGGGCATTTTACAGAAAGTTGAGGTTTCTAACTCGGAAAAGTAGTCTTTTATCGCAAAATTGAGGCATGGGCTCCATCTCGACACAGAAACTGGCAGCACTTCTCCATCCAAGTAGAGGGAACAAACATAAAAATCGTTGTCATTATTCAATAAATATTGCCCAAATTACAAATCGACGTATTTTTAATTAGTAATTTAACCATCTGCAAAGGTAAGTTGGAAGGTTTTGTGACGCACAGGCTGGACGGACCGAGCTTAAAATTGGTTCATCCTATTCTGCCAATTCTCGTCTGACGGACACTCAACTGTTTTACTCGGTGGTGCCGACACGTCATTCCAAGTCGCAAATTAATTAAGTGCAAATTAATTTAACCTGTTTGTCGTCTAGGAATATCGCCTTCCCCGTCGCGAGTCCCACCCACAAAGTTCATCATGGGATTGACACTTTCCAGCGTGTTGTCTCGCCTTTTTGGGAAGAAGCAGATGCGTATTTTGATGGGTGAGTCAATTGACGGATGGCGAAAGACGGCTTTTTTAAATATGAAATATGCTTCATGTATGGTTATATTTTTAATTTAATTGACATGACTTTGGTTGGTTTACAGTGGGTCTGGATGCGGCTGGAAAAACTACAATTTTATACAAATTTAAGTTGGGAGAAATCGTGACGACAATTCCAACCATTGGTGAGTGAGTCATAAAATAATGACACGGTGTGGAAACTGGGTATTGACGCATCTTTGAGAAATCTTCTTTCAGGGTTCAACGTCGAAACTGTGGAGTACAAAAACATTTGCTTTACGGTGTGGGACGTGGGTGGCCAAGATAAAATCAGACCTTTGTGGAGACACTATTTCCAGAATACACAGGTAATATTTTTCTTTAAACATATCGCCTATTGATACCACGCCTCTAATGATAAGTAATGTCTTATTAATTTACTAATTGTATACGTAGGGTTTGATATTTGTGGTGGATTCCAATGATCGAGAACGTATAGGAGAAGCACGAGAAGAACTAATGCGAATGCTGGCAGAGGATGAACTACGTGATGCTGTTTTGCTCATCTTCGCCAATAAGCAGGTTTGTTTAGCTATAAATTTCGGAATAGTCCTGAAATATTAACGTATAATTCAAGGCAAAGCTTTGCTTAAACTTTGTGCACATCAAAAGTAACATATAAAATTTGAATCGTTTTTGCTTGTAGGATTTGCCAAATGCAATGAATGCTGCAGAGATAACGGACAAACTTGGGCTACATTCATTACGAAATAGAAACTGGTACATTGATATAATTTATTAGTATGAAAGTGTGCAGTATAGTAATCTTTTTATTGGTCTGTATAGGTACATACAAGCTACGTGTGCCACGTCAGGAGACGGTTTATATGAGGGTTTGGACTGGTTATCAAATCAGCTGAAAAATGCTAATCGTTAATTTATCAAATCGTCTAACTAAAAATCAAGTCTGGCTGTAAAAAAATCCATTTGCTAGGAAAATATTGTTTATAATGAATTAGTGAATAAGAAGTACTCGTTAGAACGAGTAATATCTTCCATAAACCTCCACCTCATAGGCAAATAAGCTCCAAAATCCGTATGTTGTACCAATTTGTCAATTCAACACTTGTATAATTTTTTGAAATCTGTAATCAAAGAAAATCCGATATTCTACCAAATACAATTTTACCATGAAGGTATTTTACCCTTTCCTAATCTATGTCACGCATATAAGAATGAAATTTATTGGTAATACATTACATATTATATAATATCAAATTGCTTCTTATTATTATTTTATTGGGATCGGAAGAATAGGCATTTTGCTTTTTGTGATGATACCTTCTAGGCAGACAAATATGCTGTATCATCTTGTACCTATGTTACTATATTTATGTATATCGGAAGGCGTTAACAATGAAACATAAAAGTAGATAATGGCACCGCGATAGAGTTTGTCAGTAGATGTAACATTGTTACCAACATAGGATCAAGGCTAAATACAACAAACGGAACAGATTGTGTTAATAATTTTCATAATTTTCCATTCAAAAAGTAGGTATGTAGGTAAATGTATCGGCGTGTGTTATCACTTTTGTTTTGACATCATCAGCATAATCAATTTTAGAGTATGAATATAGTTTCTCTAAGCTATGCTCCTAAATATATAGCATTTATATTCTATAATTTATTTGCTAAATGTTTTCCGTACGAGTGGAAACATGTTAAGCCAATGATGTCTGTTGCATAATTATTTATTAAATTACATAGTACTGGTATCCTTTCATCTAAAGAATTTGAACAATGAGAAGAAGCATTTTTCAAATTCCATCCAATAATTTAAATAATACTTCTAAGCTGACAACAGTTATAATACATAAAATAGTAGTAAAATAATTACAATAAAATAAGGTTTAGATTTAATTAAAAGTACTTGCGAATGTAATCAGTTAGGATATTAATGTTTATTTTCGTTCAAAAAAATGGCATAATGTAAGAGATAATAATATTGGTAAGCGGTTTTGCATAAAAGTTTGCGGCTGAAAATGTCGTACGACTCTCAATTTTTAAACATGTTTTATCTATCACCTACTGTCAATAAACATTCAATCGTATTTTATACTGTTTCCGTCCTGCTAAAAGTGCTCCGAAATCATCGAAACTCTTTCTTCATCAGTATGCATGGGGTTATTAGTAATAATGCTAGATGATAACTTATTGTCTAGTACAACTCTATGTAGTCTTTCTAAGTTACTAATTGTAAGAAAGAGTCAAATGACTTGACCCAAGTCACCATCACCGGCCGGCATCGAACGGTTTCTGTTGCTCAATGAATGAATGAACCAACATCTTTGTCAGGGTATTATCCAAACTTCAAGAAATTCAACACAAAAAAGACGAGATCACTCCATTCTATGCAACATGTTACATAATTTATAATTTTTGTCATTATTAAATTAAACAGACAACATGAGTAAATTGAGTAAAAAAGCATTATAAGTTGTTGACCAATAATTAAAGTGACAAAATCATAACAATTTAACATCTTCATGCTTTTTAACATCGTATACCAAAAGCTTTGAATATTTTAACAACAAAGTTTTCCAGTAGCACAATATATGTTTCATTTTCAAGTGTTTCTTAATAAAGCTGTAACCCCGTTCAGCAATGGACGCAACAAGTTGATCATTCTCTTTTGCAAATTGAAGCAGTGACCTAAAAAAATAACAATAAAGTTCACAAACTATAGAAGGAATGAAAACTAGATCTAAACTACAAGACTTACCTAAGTTCGTTAACATCAGAGTTTGGATTTACAGGGATGTAGTGTACCCAAGGCTTTAGCTCTGGATAAAAGAATTCGATCCAATCTTCACCAACATGGAAAACTGCAGATTTACACACAAACAAGTGCTTGAATCTAAAGCTGGCAGCAACTCCACGATAGTTGAACAGGTACTTGTACTTGCAGTGATCTTCAAAAGACACTTCTGTTGCTGCCGGAGCGTTCAGAGTGTCCTATTGAATTATATGAAAAAAATTATTCACAAAATAAAATATCTCAAATTAATCTCTTCCCACCGCGTCAGATTTCCAAGCTTGATTCTTTGTATATTGAGCGTCCACGAGGTCAGGATACTTTCTCGAAAGATAAATTAAAGCGTCTCTCTCTGATGATGTTCTTGATCCACGGAAGAATGCTTTTACTTCCTTTTTATCCCACGGATATTTTTTGGCTGCATCAGTAATGGATTGTCGTAATAAATCCCATCGACCAATCCCTTTAGGATAAAGCGAAATTGATGGCCCCCCCTCCCAGAATGTCCAAGCTGGATATATAATGTCTGCATAGTCCTTTGTCTGCATTATTTAATGTAATCAATATACATACACTGACTCGTAAATTTTTAAACGTCTCAAAACTGTCAACTGTCAACTTTCAACATACGTACGTACATTACATACCTTGCTAAAAGAAAATACCGGCAACGGTTCTGGAAAATGAGAAGAAATTTGAGGCCAGTCCGAAGTATTAACAACAAATTCCACGTTTGGAATATATTTGGCAATTTTCTTTAGAAAATGTTCAATTCCTTTGCACCGTGTGGGAAACTTGCAGGTTGAATCACGATACAATTTTCCGTCGATTATTTGATAAAATGATCCCCTATAAAGAATTGGAACGAAGTTCGACGTAATTGCACTTTCGCCTCACATAGTTATTTTTTGTGTCTACCTTGACCGAGCAGTTTGAACCAAGTGAGAGGTAATTCCTTCCTTAAACGCGGATAAATCTTGTTCAATAAGATTCCAATATAATGAGCAATTACCATTCGGTAGTGATTTTAGTTCTTTTGCTCGAACTGCATAATTATCCAATGCAGTCTCAACTTCCGTCAAAATATTATTCCACTTTTCGTTGTTTCCTTAAAAATTTTGGAATACTGTTATATTAAATTTCATAGACAAATTACAAATTAAATGATTTAAAACCTCTTGAATATCGCTGCTTCACTGCATCTCTAGAACTTGGTATTTGATTATTGTCAGCAGAACCTTGGACATCAGTACAGTCTTTATCCTCTTTTGAACAATGTCCCTGAACAGAGTCACTTTCTGCACAAAATCCCCACGAAAGAATTACAATTGTATAAACAATTATACAACCCGAAATACTTAATCGGCTCATTTTTACAAATAGTGTTCCCTGAATCAACAATTGACCTTGTAAAACCGCTTACAATTAAGTCTATGAAAATAACTTGTGTGACTTTGTGATTAAAAAATCTAATTTCATGCAAACCTAATTAAAAAATGTAATTTAATAATCGTATGGTGCATGCAAAACGGTTGACAGCAGTAAAAACAAAGTTTGTCAACCTCGCACCCGCTTCATCAGAGGAAGAAAGTGAGAATTTGGGCACACGGAAAGAGCAGCAGCTCCTTCAATGTTGTTCTGCTGGAGAAAGTTCAGACAACATTCGGTGTTCGCAATAATTTTCTAAAATTTCCTTTTTTCCCTCATTCCCATGAAATTTTAAAACGGTAGCAGCGGACAAGCGTGTTTGTCTAATCAAACACTTCCGCACTGGACAAATTTAAGATTCACTTTAAAACCATCAATAATCTTGCCGTTCAGTAGTCAGTAACTGAATTTCAGTTTAGTCAATTCCTTTGAGCTGCTTTGAAATGACGGGTGGACGACTCGTCGGGCCAGCGGTCAACCTGTACCTGAAACAATACGGGTTGAAGATAACTCAAATCACAGCCTCTGGACCGAAGGGATCCGTTTCCAAAGGGGACGTTTTGAAATATGTCAAGACCAATAAACTCCAACCCCTTCCACAAGGTTTGCAGTTTAATATTGTAATATGCGCAGATTTCTTAACTGATAAAAATTAAACTTTGCATAGATGCAGGCTCCATTTCTGTCAAGATCCCAAGTGCCATGAAACCTCCACCTTCAGCAACACCTGGGAAATTGGCATCCGTTCCTAAGTTGAGGAGGGTGGGCCCAGCTGCGTTTCATGAGGTTGAAATTTCAAATATGCGAAAAACAATTGCAAAACGTTTACTTCAATCTAAGGTGAGGTTCTTATGTTGTTGTTAAATAAATATAAAGCAACGACATTTGTATAATTACTAATCAGATCAAAGTAATACGCCAATTTTGTTTGATTTTTAGTCAACAATTCCTCACGCATACGGTATCGCGGAGTGCAATGTCAAAAATTTAGTTGCAATAAGGAAAAAATTGATAGCGGAGAATATGAAAGTTTCTGTGAACGATATTCTAATCAAATGTACGGCGAACGCTCTTTTGAAAGTTCCAGCTGTAAATTGTGTCTGGGAAGGAGATAAGGTGAGTGGAGAAATTGTTGATAATTTATGAAGATTGTATTTGTGATACTTACGCTACAATTTGTTCTTGTTACAGTTATCTGAAAAGAACGCTGTTGATATTGCTGTCGCAGTGGCAACTCCGAATGGCTTAATTACCCCCATTGTTTTCAATGTTGGAGATAGAGATGTTGTTAAAATTTCGGAAATGGTGAAAGTTTTAGCCGGAAAGGCTAAAAGTGGTAAACTACAACCAAATGAATTCATGGGAGGAACATTTAGGTAACTATTAAGCGATATGTCTTGAAGATAATTTGTACAAACTTAAACCTTATAATTCTGACTATTTTGTATGATTCAGCATTTCAAATCTTGGAATGTTTGGAATTCATTCGTTTAGTGCAATTATAAATCCACCTCAATGTGCAATTTTGGCAATTGGTGGAAACATCCTGTCGATTGGTTAGTACCAAACGTATTATATTATCAAACAATAAGCTCATTTGGTTAGATTAATGAATCAAAACTTGTGTCCTTCATATAGATGAAAATGGAAAACCAGCCACTCACGTGCAGCTAACCTTATCGTACGATGCTAGAGCAATATCAGATCAAAACTCCGCTAAATTCTTGGGAAACTTGAAACATGAAATTGAAAACTTGAGCGAATTATCAATGGGAATTTTCGACATGAGATTCAAAAAGGAAATGTTAGAATTAGACGCTGTTCTCAATTAACGTGTCAACTAAAGTCAACCGTGCGTGAATAGTAAATTTCCAGTCAAAGTTGTTAAATCAGGAACAATTAATCGATACCAGTGCTTCAATGATATTGCTGTGATTGGTAAAAAAAGCTGTTTTAATTCGTAATGAACTATACTTGTGTGTAGTAGTGACCCTTCCAAAACAGTTGAATAAAATACACAACTAGTAGTCGTCCACGATACAAAACTATAAAATCTATTCATTCATTCATTCATCGCTCATGCTCATGCAATATAAATTATCCGAATTCGTTTTGGCTTGTTTGATTATAGCTTAATTATTCATTTTGGTTTATTTGGTAATAGTTTTTTCGTCCGTCTAGTTCATCAAGGCAAAATACAATAATTTTTTCAAGTAGGATTGGCATTATTAAAAAAGTTTTATGAACACGACTTCACTTTGGTGAAACTTGGTACTCATAGTTGGATTATTAAGAATCAGAGTAATATCATCGTGCTGCTGAGCGTGAGGATTTGAGGTATAATCGAAATCGGAATTAAAATATCCTTTTCTGTACAACGTAGACCACACAGGCAAGAAAAAACACGAGAGCCAGGCATATCAATATCTTGTCCGTAAATTCTCGCCGCCCATACTTGGTTAACAATTTCTTACTAACTGAGATCAGGGAGTTTTGACTTTTGAGCTCCTCTTGATTTTCTTGTATCGCAGTTGACGAATTTGCTATAAAAAATAATTCAATATTAGTATACGTAGAACAGTCAGAAGTGTTCGTTATTAATTAATATATGTACCAAGGGTACCAATCGTTCCTGCGCTGCGTTGCACCGTTTCCAACAAAATCCGTCTGGAATGAAGCATGCTCTCAGTAGCCCCTGAAGAAATTTCTGCCGCACCGGCACCCCGTCTTCGAATTCTAATATATTAATCAATATACTATAATTAAACAATTATTCATTAAAGTTTCTTGAGATTAACAGCACTGACCCGTTATCTGCGAACGGACTACGAGACAGCGTAAACAAATCTTGGCGTTCTTTGGACGTAATTGCCAATTGAAAGTCTCTTTGTAATTGTTTTAGTGAAGTCTTTAAACTAAAATAATAAAAATAGCAATAAAATTTCAGTATTTAAATCAATTATCATAATCAATTGTTACCTATCCACAGTTAGTGTGTAAGTCTTTGCTTGATCAACCAATCTTGGGCTTGAAATTTTTGTATCCTTAACAGCATTCATATCATCCGAGATGTCAACCATTTCATCCAAAAGTAGCTTAATTTGAGCCATCAAATCGTAAATTGTGTCTTGATCATTAACCTTTTCTGGATCATGGATATTTCTTTCTCGGAACGTTTTGAGCAACTATAAAAGCACAACAAACGAATATTGAAATTGAAATTTTAAAAACAAGTCACAACCCTCTTTTCTCACCTGATTTGCTTTATATAGTAGGTTTTTGGATGTGACATCAAGTCTTGTGAAAGTATTGCGAATATCTGGAGAATCTTTGGAGAGGTTCTGTGAAGTAGTGGGAGGACTTGGATTTCTGGACGAGGAGGCAGATGAGGTGTTGCTGCTTACACTTGGCGTCGATGATCGATTAATTGTCACGTTTGGGGTTCGAATATACGTTATGGTCCCACCGTTGTGACGAATGTTGGGTCCTTGACCCCTTTGTGCCATCGGTCGGAATGCTCAGAAACGTTGAACAAACCACAAGACCTGACCAACAAACAAAAATACAACATTTAGATTTATACAAAGTAATACATAATATTCTTATTAATTTTGCAAAACATAGCTCAAATTTCAAGTGATCAGATTGCAAATTTTGGTTTAATAAGATAAGGTCTGCATATATATTTTGTTAAGGTCAAATAGTGTTGCACTTTGGTTTAATTCTATTTAATTTAAATATTGTGTATTGACAAACTTTAAAAACTCACCTACTGGCTTTTCACCCGAATTCCAAATTTGACTCAACTAAAAATCTTGAAATGCACTAATCACATACTTATTTATATTCCCTAATCATGCACGTCCTAATTTATTTCATTATTCCAAATTATTTTAATCACCGATCGAGAACAGTCCACTTCCTGGTCTGCTGGCTGGTCGGTTTAGAGTCAATGGTTTTTAATACGTGACGTGTAAATATTGCTTAAAATCTCCCACGATACGTAAAACTCGATGTGCTGTAAAGATTCGTTGCGTTGAGAATTTAATCTTTCAGGGTTTTTGAAAACTTTTACTTTCCATAATTCTGAAGTTTCCGAAAGAAACCATTACCGAGTCTGATATATCAACGAATTCAAAAATCTCAAAAATGAGAGTGGGTGCGGCTGGATGCATGCAACCGCATGCTATCCGAATTGGGGAAGTCGAGATTTTTTTTATGCAAAATTAGCAATATGTGTAAAGGCTCGCTCTCACTGTGGAGGCAAAATGAGATATATACATAAAAATCACTTTGGCAAAGATATCATTGCAAAGCTATCATTGAAATCATGCGTATTTGAACGGCTAGTTATGCAGTCCGAGGAAAGTGTTGAGTCTGACAAATTCCTTTTACTCCATATACAAGCAGTGTTTAGAAGAATTTCAAAAGTTGCAATAAAATAAGACAACGTCTGTGCAAATGTGTTACAGAACTCAACAACTGACACATGATATATGTCGCAAGCATGTCAAAGAATATAGTTCCCAACTATTTCCGGTTTAGTTATTCTTACAAATATATAAATCATTTGTATTAAAAACATGCATTTGTAGTAACGCATATTTTCATTGTAAACATGTTAAATACAAGAAATTTACTTATAATATTTTCACTTAAATAATTAAAAATACATAAACGAAGCCGTTAATTACCACACCATATATCGCGTTATGAAAAGAAAATTTTCGATTTCCGATTACATTTTCCTACGGACTATTTTTGCCTATGGACTATGTAAAACAAGGAGAATTCTTGTATAATAATAAGTGTATGAAATATTTATAATCTGGATCAGTCTTCTGGGTGGGCTTCTGCGTCCTAGTCTTCTTTTCGTGAAATGTTTTTCTATCATTCTCAAGTAACATGAATAACACGGGGCACGTACATATCTATAATGCATTCTCAAACTTTTGTGGATATCTTGTGGGAGTTTGGACAAGTTTAATAAGTAAATCATTATTGCTTCTCTTGTGAACTTCTTGGTGCGTCCCACAGCAAGTTTCACTCGAGTAAGAAAGCAAGCGATTGGTTTCTAGTCGCAATGATTCAATATTTCAAATAAATATATCCGACAGAGACGTAAGCAATAAATTATTATGTATCAGTTGAAAATATCTGTTTCGTAGTAGGTCAACGCTCAAAGTAAGTCGTGCTTCTTGCCCAGCAGATAACCATACCCCGGACAAATATTTTTTTATCCTACCCTACTCGTGTTGAGCTCAACATGAGTAGGGTAGGATAAAAAAATATTTTTCCGGGGTATGCAGATAACTGATAAACGATCAGATTCATTTCTTCAACGTACGCAAGAGTGAAACGTGAGTGCAGTGAAAACGAGATCTGTATTATTCTTGTTGCACAGTGCCACACTTATTATTTATAATACCAGAGATTTGCTATAAATTATCGGGTTAGGTTGGAGATGAAGAAATTGGTTGAAAGTTTTAAGTGGTTTAATCCTAAACATTAGATAATGGGAAAACAGGAACCGGAGGCAATTAATTTGAAACTATGATTATTTCATTGATCATTGTAAATACATATTAATGTATGTGTATGCTTATTTAGTGTGCTTACTGTAAGTGTCAAATTTAAATGGCTGGGTTAAATTACAATCTTATTGGTGCATCATATTTATTTATTCCTGATTCAATCGTGATTAAGTCCTCATGATAATTTCTTCTAAGCAGATAAATTAAGATAACATTGAAAGGAAGCATCGTACTTATATTTTCCATTTCCATAATTGGAGACAAATAGTTAAATTGTAATTTCTAAACTATAAAAGCTACATTGTTTTAGTTGAAGGGTTTACCGCTTGGAAATAAATGGTTAGAAAATGTGGTTAAACACCGTTCATTTATCTGAATGTTCATTTATCTGAATGTCGAGATTTGCATGCATGCATAATTTGCTTACAATTCCCTGGTATGTATGTAATATGTAATATTGCTGAGCTTAAACTATGCAATAATAGATGACTCTTTCAACCAGGACAAATGCGTGATTATTAATTCAGTAGCAGGCAGAATTAAGTATCTATCCGTAGGTTTTCAGATATCATTTCCATGTTGATTAATAAATACATACACACTCGAAAACGTGTCAAAGCGTTTAAAATAATTCGTCGGATGATTAGATTAATCAGATGTGTAAGATTTATTGCCAATATGATGATTCACCCATAATTTCCACGTAATTATTTACTACGCTTCCATCGAGTGAAAGCATGAATGCTTCAGATTTCCAATTCTGAACTGATTAAAATACTAATTTATATCATTACTTGCTACCATTATATGTAAATTATTTGGATTCTTATGATGCATTATGCATATCATATTTGCCAAACCTTTCGTGTTTGGGACAAAGCGTTTAATACATGAATTTACGTATGTAATATGTCCATTTGTTAATTGTTAAACTCTTGTATTATTTTTATGATATTTCTTTTAAACAATTCTATACTCTACAAAAAGCACTCAAAATTTTTAAAACGCAAAATGTGTTTAAATGACCACGTCTGCACCACAACCTAGCACCAAAATAGGCAGGTGTTTTGCGTTTTGGAAATTCCAAACGCCAAATGTCATGCGTATGTACAAATGTTTCACATGTCTCTCCCGAACTACTCATAAGCTCATTCCTCAATTAATTGCTACTTATTGTAACGCTTGCTACAAGAGAACACTACTTCCAAATTTATTAAGTGGGAAACGCTCATTCATCATACGAACAAAACCATCAATTCAACTGCACCCGACATATCGCTACACGGGTTCAACAATAATGACCTCCGTCCGACAAAAAGAACATCGGTGGTAGCATAATTACTCCCTTTTCTCCTCTCAGACAAAATAACAACAGTCTGCCAGGCATGATTGAGGGTGAAATTGTTCGAATATTAGCAGCAACCACGGCGTTAACAACGAAATCACTAAACCGATCCGTCTTTGTATTGATTTCAACACATTTCAATTGTTATTTTCTTGAACACCGCACACAACCCGTGGTACATAATTTGTGGAAATGAAAATATACCTCGTGACGCTTTTTAGGATAACATTAATTGCTGTAATCTATGCTATGTCATGACGTACTTACACGCATCCGCTAATGGAACATTTGATGTACATACATAAATATTGCAAATATTAAGCATTTTTGCATCATTCATGAAACCGAGTACCTTAATTGCGACCAATGACGACGGCTCATTGAACCAAATTCTTGGGGGTATTCGACCGGTATCCAGTCGAATCAAAGTAAGGAATTTGATTATATCTACGCCGCATCCTGACAAAGGCTGATCAACTATAATTGCAACTTTGCGTTCGAAACGTTCTCGCATGTTGAATGATTTAAGTCCGTTGCTAATTTCAGCGAATTCCATGTCGAGATCGAAAGACATATTTAATTGAACACTTGAATGGAACAAGGGTCGAGTTCAAAAAATAGTTTGTGTTTGTGACGTCAAAATTGCAAACACGATGAGACAAAAAACAATCCGTGTTGAATTCAACGTGCTGATTGATAACGGAACATAAATAAAATTCCACACTGCATGAACAAGTTTTTATCTCTTGCTGGGAGTTATTTGCTCGTAATAATAGTCAGTTCAAATTAACTGCGATTTTTGGTCGTCATTGTCAGGGTCAGATATTATTACTGTTGCTGGTACAGTTGGACGCAGTTTTCTGTTGTTTACTAGTCTCGTTATTAAATAGTCGCGTTATACATATTTGCATATATTAAGGCAGTCAATGTTATTTTTTATCAACGTACACTTTTTTCCACCATCAAATACTTTTATCGCCGTACATACATGATTAATATTATGCACATATTTGCTACTACTTCAATGCAGAAGAAAGTTGGAGCAGTTATAGTGAGTAGATGATTGTCAAAGGTTTAAAGATCACAAAAATGCAGGTTGTTTCCAGTTGGTTTTTCTAGGAATTAAAAGCAATTAATTGAATGTTTGATTGTAATGTCAATAAATGGAACTTATTCATATTCTGTTCCTACATGTGTGCACATATTTCGTTGAATTTGTGTTATCACATATTCTCATGAATTCCCATTGCTGATTATTTTTTATGCCGAATTCCTGAAAACGTTGGACAAATATGCACCCAAGCCTAGTAAATCTAATTAAGCACCATTACAAGGTATTGAGTAGATGTACGTCAAGTTCTGTTGAATAGTAGTGACACAGGTAAGGTGAGATATCTGTGGATTGGGTTTTGACCATGACGAAAGTTTGTGGCAAATGGAATCAAAGTCAGGAACGAGTCGTGTCATGAAGGGCATGTGTTCCTTTCCAAACCATTAGATTCTACTTCGAATCGTGGAATCCAGTTATCATGCAGTATTGGGTTCCTTAAGACCAAATTTGTGAGGGAAAATATCCCAACTTCCACAAATGGGTTTGCTCAAATGGAAAATATCTGTATTGAATTGTTTGTTATGTTAACCACCTCGCACTTGTGCTCAATCCTGTTTCATTATCCATTACCTACATACAACCACAAGCAGAAAAAACCTCACATTTAAATAGTACACGCTCATATTGCATTTCCTCCTCCCATTGGTGAGAGAATCTATAAATCTGGTCTTTTCTCAGAGGAATGAGATGGTTTGTGAAATAATGTGACGACTTTTGGTATTGGAAAATGTAATAACACCAAAATACAGTCTGACAAGAATGGATGTTGTCGGAGCATAAAATTGGACATTGAAAGTTTTGTGTTGTTGGAATGAATTCTAATTTTATGCATATTTGTCTCTCCAACAGAATACGAAGCATTAATGCCTCGTTCTTTTTTAAAAGAACGTCATCCAACTTATAATAAATCCGCTCTTTCGATTTGGTCCAATCTTTGTAGACATTTTCCTAAAAATAAATAACATT